CGATGCACTTGTTCCTAGTAGCTTCTTGTTCCTAGTAGCTTCTTGTTACTATTAGTAAGGCACTTGTTACTAGTAGTGATGCACTTGTTACTAGTAGCGATGCACTTGTTCCTAGTTGCTTCTTGTTTCTACTAGCTTCTTGTTCCTAGTAGTAAGGCCCTTGCTCCTAGTAGCGATGCCCTTTGCTACTAGTAGCGTTAAGACTTAGACGCTTTATGACTTAGTCTTCCAAGAAATACGTCCCTACCTGATGGCTTTGGAAAGACATCTGCACATGAGCCATCTCTTCTCGGGTCAGGTCATAATATTGAAGGTAATTCTCATTGTTGGACACAAGAACAATTAATAACAAGGCACGAAATGGTACAAACACAATCTTCTTGTTCATCTGTACAATAAGACAGAAACGGAAATAACGACCTGAGCCCAGCGGTTGTTTTTGGTGCCCTTTTGGGCCTTGCATTAAAAAAGCATCACCATTCCAGTCTTATTCCACAATAGCGCTACAACGACTCCCGGAAGGTCAGTGCTTTCTGAAGACGAAAGTGTGAGATGCGGTCGAGCATCGATGTTAGATTTATGTTTGGACGGGTGCGGTGGGGCTTTAAGGATAAAAAAGACTTTAAAGGAACCTAATCTCGATGGCCTCCAACCTAAGAGCAATGGTTCGAAGTGGATGTGATGCCTGGCAACAACCTTCGAGTGGTTTGGAGACTGTGCAGGGCTGGGAGATGAGGTGGAGGGGGTTATACAGTTCGACGGACATGTACGTGTCGTGATAATTTTGAGGCTGTGGAGTCGAGTTTTCCGGAGGAAAGATCCGAAGAACAAACGTCAGTTTAAATAGCTTTTCAAATGCATGGGCTCCTAAAACAAGCATGTAGAAGTACAAGTGCCATTACAGCCGCTAACAAAACTGATGCCGTAGGCCCTCTCTGGCTCCCTCTCACAAGGTTTGGTGTCTTCGTGCCTTCTTTTCCAATGTGCAGCAGTTCCTTGAACACTGCCACGGATTCTCGAATGCCGCCCAAGTAGGAACAAGTGCCACGCTAGTAGTAACAGGTGCCTTACTAGTAGTAACAAGAAGCTACTAGTAACAGGTGCCACGCTAGTAGTAACAAGTGCCTTACTAATAGTAACAAGAAGCTACTAGTAACAGGTGCATCGCTAGTAGTAATAAGGGCATTACTACTAGTAGCAAGAAGCTAGTAGTAACAAGGGCATTCCGTCATATTCGCGACCGAGTGTGCGACAAGCCCGCTTAAACTTCTGGCATAGACCCGAGGTGGCGAGGTAGTTTCTTTCGCGCCTGTGTTATTTTCTTTCGAACCTACTAGCGATGGCCTCCATCCTAACAGCGATGGCCTCCAACCTAAGAGCGATCCCTCCCACCTAAGAGCTACTAGGTCAGAGGCCAATGCCGACGGAATTTGGAAACTCTTTCACAAATCGACAGAATCTGAAGATCAATATTTTAAAGGGGCTGGGTTTTGTTCGTTCTTTGCAGGGTTCTTAATGATGGCAGTGACATGATCGGTTGCTACACCATGTTTTGGTCACGAGAAAGATCGCAGGCAAGTGCAGTCCTCGGTCTACCCGGAGAGTGTGCAGGAGCATGGTGCTGAGGTGCTGAAGAACCGGACATTCACAAGTGACACTTACTAGCGCTGGCCTCCAACCTACGAGCGCTGGCCTCCAATCTTCTGCCACATTCACAAGAATCCAACAACATTTGTTGCTGAGGATTCGAAGGTCGTTGTATTGGATCTTAGAAGAGCCAGATGCCAGATGCGACCTCAGGGAAGAGGGCGAATTGGGGTGCCCTTGTTATGCCATTTAATGCTTCTGATTTCATTCCTTGTGTGCTTTTTGTGCTGCGTCACTTTCATACTTTGTTTGTGCCTTTGCCGCTTTGCTTTCTTCCTTTTCTGGGCTCATTTCTTTTCTTTGTTTGTTGGTTCTTTTACGACCGTAAAGACACATTCTGTAGGTACCAATGGTACCAAGTTCTACATCCCAACCTTTGAACGGCAGACATGACAGCTGCCAATAAAGGGCTCTCAACATTCTAGTCCCAACTTCGTTGCCGATGTTGGTGCCCAGACTCATGTTTCCTTGGCACTCCATCCTGATGTTCGCTTGCCACGCCTATTTGATGAGGAACCCAAGAAGAGAAATGCATCAAGAAACTTCCCGGCCATAAAGAAGCTATTAGAAACAAGTGCCACGCTAGTAGTAACAGGTGCCTTACTAGTAGTAACAAGAAGCTTTTAAATTAACTTAATTCTAATTTAATTCTACTCTCCTCATTGTTGGACCCAAACGCCGTGCATCCGAAGTCCGGCGCGATTTCATGCAGCATTTGTTGTCCGAGGTTCTGATGTGCCCAGGGTCCTCACAGTGGGCGTGGCCTGATGATCCCAGTTTCCAGATTTAGGACGCTACTAGGGGCTCCTGGCCTTACTAGGAGCAAGGGCATCGCTATTGGAAACAAGAAATCAATAGGATTAGAATTGACATTCAATTAAATCGAATTAGAGTTTAATTAGAATTAGGGTAGAGGCCATCACTAGTAGGTTGGAGGCCCAGTTTCCAAATCTTCAAGTTTTGAACAATTCTTGGATGATCCGACATGTCTTCTGGATCTGTTTTGACATGTGATCTTCGCAGTTGCCAGTTGGGCCCTTTGGGCCAAGGCGTGCGTCAATGTCCTGATGATTTTGCTGAGCTTGGTAAGTTTAATTCTTGAAACAAGTCCTGAGTCGGTGGCTCAGTAACCAGAAGGTTGCACTTTTCGTGATATTGCCCTTGAAGACAACATCATTCCACTTTTCAAAGGTTCAAAAAGACAACATCAGAGGTTCGGACATCCCAGCTGAGTTCACTGGAAACATCTGGAAACCATGTTGATGTTGTGACTTTGTGACTACAGAAAAGTTGCACTCATGCCGATATGCCTCTGCTCCAGGACCTATGGCAGTCCATCGAAATCCTCACTACAGGAATCTCAATCGTGGCATTGTTTGAAACTCCTTTGGGAGAAAACGTTCTTTTCAGACTGGACTTGAGCTACCAGGAACAAGGTGCATGGCTACTAGGAACAAGGGCATTACTACTAGAAGCTAGAAGCTACTAGTAACAAGTGCCACACTTCTAGGAACAAGTGCCTTACTAATAGTAACAAGAAGCTACTAGGAACAAGTGCATCGCTTCTAGTAACAAGTGCCTTACTAGTAGTAACAAGGACGTTACTAGTAACAAGGTGCATCGCTACTAGGAACAAGAAGCTAGAAGCCACTAGTTACAAGGGCATTCACCGATTTGCGCTAGGCTGTTTCACCCTGGAGTATCTCATGAGACTCTGGGTGCGACCTAGTGACCACGGACCACACGAGTGACCACACAAGTGAAAACCAGTGAACAGCAAGCGCGATGGCCTCCACCCCAGTGCTGATTCTTTCTCTCAGGTTTGTGATGTTTATGGTGCTTCTGCAGTAGATTGGTTCTTCAAGCTGGGAACTGAAAGATACGAAATGGTTTTTATTTGTCCACTTAATGAAAGAGTAATAGCGTCCTTGTTCCTAGTAGCTTCTTGCTCCTAGTAGCGATGCCAGGAGCCCCTAGTAGCGAACATTTTTCAACGTTGGAACGAAAGGCCTCTGAATGTTTGCGACCTGTTGGCGATCGTTCCTGTCTACGCAGAGTATGTGGTGCCTGGCTCAAGAACTTCAAACGTTTCACACCGTTTCAGTTCTCAATCGGACGAGGTCAGGCAATGGGATCTCGAATTTCTGCGAGTCCTGCGGGTGGTAGCCACAGAGTTAATCTTCCGCACTGAAGTGTGAACATATTCCTACAATGGCCTCCAACCTACTAGCGTGGCCTCCAACCTAGTAGCTCTGGTTTTTCTGCACTGAACTGCACTGAAAAGATGTCTGGCGAGCTTAGTACGTAGCTCGCAAGTTGCAACTGAGGTGGTTCGCCTATTCAAAATAGGTCGCTACTCTGAGGGTAGCTGACTCACCGTCGTCTCTTTTGTTTGTTTTAGAATCAATCGACAGAGAAAGCAACAAGTGCATATTTCCATTTCCTGAGGTGTTCGCGTAATGAACGCTGCACTGTTTAACAGCTTGTCTTCTACTCAGAATGCCAAACGTTTGCTTGTCTCATCTGTTGC